CAAAACATAGAAACTTTGTTCTACTGTAGTTCTATTGCTTCTTCCCTTTTCTGCTATTATTGCCATATGTATTATATCTCTACATGTAAACTAAATAATATATTGTTATAGTCATTGCTTTATATAATCTATGACTTTTAAAAGAAATCAAAGAAAATAAATAATATTTCATTATCTTTCATATTAACCCACATATTTACCATCTGGTGTTATATTCTTGTAGTTTTAAGAATTTCCTTTTTCACAACAACATAAAAAAAAAGAAGAAGAAGTATTTCCTTCACTATTTAAAACAGGTCTGCTAGCAACACATTTTTAGTCTTTATTTTGTCTTCAATTTTAAAAGTTCTGGCTTTGGGGGTGGGAGCAGGAAGGAGGGGGTCAATGGGGAAAAAGGGATATCTGTAATACTTTCAATAATAAAAAATAAAATAAATAAATAAAACTGATGGCTTTATTTTGCCTTCAATTTAAAGTATAGTTATTCTTGATATAGAATATTTGGTGGACATTTTTTCTTTCTTTCACTGACTTCTGGCCTCCATGTTCATTGATACTTATCTGTATGTGGTGAGTTAGTTTTCTCTTGCTGCTTTTAGTTTCTTTGTTTTTGTCTTTGTCTTTGTCCTGTAATAGTCTGTTATGTCTAGATATTGATCTCTTTATATTTGTACTACTTGGGGTCCTTTGAACTTCTCTGATGAGTAGATTAATACTTTTAATCTAATTTGGTATATTTTTGTCCCTTATTTCTTCATATATTTTTTCATATCCTTTATCTGTCTCCTTTCTTTCTGGGATACTAATAACATGTCTTTTGATATAGTTATGATTGTCCTAAGTATCTCTGAGTCTTTGCTCATTTTTTAAAAATTCTCTCTGTTCTTTCAGATTGGGTAATTTTATTAACTATCTTTAATTTACCAACTCTTTCTACAGGTTATTTTGAATCTGCTCTCAAGTTTGTCTGGGTTTTGTTGTTGTTTTTTAAGATCTTGTTTTGAGTTTTACATTTGGCTTCCTAGGACTTGCCCCTGCGTCTGTGTAGTTTAAATGATAAGTCGATGGTTGGGCAGTGGTTGTGATTAAACACTTCACATCTCTAAGTTATCTCTCATCTCCTCACGGATCTTTGTAATAGAGGAATACATTTAAAGTTTATGCTGTTTTGAATTGTGTCCAAGCTTTTGCTTTCTGCTGGACTCTTTCACATTTCCTCTGTACACGTGGTTGTTCAGCCTCAGCAATATGTGGCTAGCTTTGTTCCTCTTCAGTCTCCATTGTACATACTCAGCCTTAGCCAACAATATGGTTGCCCCAATTATGACCATGACCTTGGACTAATAGAACTGTATGGCTCTCCTTGCTTACCTGCTTCTAAGGTCATCACTTCCACTGAGAGAGTGCGGGGCTTAGACGTCACCTACCACTCAAACTCAAGTGAGCCCCCTTTGACCACAGCAGAGACATTTCCAGCCCTGTGATCTTCCCTACCCTGGAAGGACCTCTCTACCACCTGAGCTGTGGTTGATGGTGATAAGAGTAGTTCCAGGCCAGAATGCCACAAGGTCCTAATGTTCTTACCTAAAGATTAGCAGTTTTTCAAATGTGAATGTTTCTCAAATGGTTATATTCCTTTGGTCAGTTTCTAGAGCATTGAAATAGTTGTACTTGTCAATTTTTTCTAGCTCTTTGGTTTCTTTTTTGGAAGAGTATTTGTTGATTGCACTCAGCCATAGGTGGAAGTACGGCTTCTGGTCTTGTATTTTGTATATATTTTTTTCTTTACTCTCTTAGGATGATGAGAAATTTACATGTTCTGCTAACTGATTTACTTCTATTTTCTTTGGGGTAAATTTTTGTCCAATGTGAGAAGAAAAAAAAAGATTTTCTTCAAATGCCTGGTAGTCCTTGGCTGTGCATTTATATTAGAAAAGAGAAAATAAAAAAGCTCCCTGGAAACCATACTTGGATGGCATTGATTTGCCTTTGAATAGTTAAGGAACAATGAGTATACTGGAAGTCAGCTAAGGGCCAGAATGAGACCAGCTTATGTTGGGGGAACCCATATTTATATTGTTTTCTACTTTCTAGACAATTCATTTCCTCAAATACAATACTTCTCTCAATTACTTATTTTTTTCTTACTCAGAGTCAGATATGTAACTAAAGACAAAAAGAAAGTAGTTGCTTATGCACAAAGATAGGGGAGGGAGATTCAGTGTTTCTTGGACAAATCTTTAAATTGCGTATTTTAGCTTCACTCCTTACCCCACACTTCTGCCAGGGATATTAGGCCATTCCTTTCATTGCAGTTCTCCCTGCCCACATTCTATAGCTTGGCTTCTCCTGCTCTGTTTCTCCTGTGAATGTTCATTCTTACCATGTACACACTTGTAAGGAGGAGTCTCTGTCTCTTCACTGTTATGAGTGTACATCCTCTCTCCCAACCCCCAAAATACACCTTTATTATCTTTTTAAGGGGATCTCTGAAAGGAGATGGGAAAAAATACACATTGATTGATCTTCCAAAATTTTTTGCACATATTTTTAAACGGTTGTAATGAAACATGTATATGCTATCTGGGTTCTATTCTCACTTCTCTATTAAGCATGTTCTACATTCCTGTATTTCTTCATAATTATTGTTTATAGTCAATTATGAACACATTTTTAATGAAACAGTTTGTGTGTTTGTTTTAGTAGTATAATGGTTATTATTTTAGTTACTGCCTCCTTCTCTTTCGTTACCCTTTCCTCCATCCCATCATCTCATACATTTACCTTTCCTCAGGTAACCAGTGTTAACAATATTGACAGTTTGTGGAACACTAAGTGTTCATTTTTTCCTTTGGTCAGACTGATTGAGTAAAACTATTAAGAAGGACAATTTACCCTAGAGCAGGCTGACGTTGTCTTCAAGAAAATAATTTCAAGCCCTGGATGGTGTGTCTCAGTGGTTAGAATGTCAGCCTGTAGACTAAGGGGTTGCAGGTTTAATTCCCGGTTTCAGGTTCAATCCTCAGCCCCAGTTGGGGTATGTGCAAGAGGCACCAATCTGTGTATCTCTCTCACATCAGGGTTTCTCTCTCCCTCCCTCCCTTCCTCTCTCTCTTAAAAAAAAAAAAAAAGGTATTTTCAGGTATTTATGGTGTTTCCAAGAAATCATATGATTTCACTTGTGGAGTTAGGTGCTGCGTTGTATCTCTATAATGGCTTCCTAGCATGGACATCTCCACTTTAGTTCTTTAGTGGAAGTGAACTGTATCCTTGTAATAAATCCCTCTCTTTCCCCTTTGTTTAGATTCATTTCTCAGAGTGGTTAAGTTGACCATGAGGGTTTTTGTCTCTTGATAAAATATAAACTGGAAATCAGCTAGAGATAGTAGATGTTAGTAATATTAAAGCACTTGTATGTTAGATATCAAAGAAAGGCCAAAAATATGAGGGCAATTAATAAATATCAAAAAAACACTTGGAACCTTCTTCATATCAGTTTTCTAGACAACCTAGGCCTAACCAAAAGATCAGTTTGGCTGATTATAGATTATAAAAGTGTCTTTTCTAATAAAAAGTACACTTATTGCTTTATTTTTCTTTTAGTAAGACAAGATAAATAAGTATAGATATTGTTGTTGTTGTTGTTAATCCTCACCTGAGGATATTTTTCCACTGATTTTCAGATAGAGTGGAGGGAGGAAAGGAGGGAAAAAGAGAGGGAGAGAGAGAGGAAAGAGAGAGAAACAGCAGTGTGTCACACATCAGTTGGTTGCCTCCCGCACGACCCCAACCAGGGCCTGGGATCCAACCTCAAACCAGGTACGTGCCCTTGACCAGAATCTATTCCGCGACTCTTTGGTTCTTGGGCCAACGCTCTAATTGTTGAGGCAAACTAGCCAGGGCGATAAGTATAGATTTTGGAATGAAGAAGTAAAACTCATTATTTGTATATTATATAAAACCACAGAATAATATAGAGTGTAGTAAATATCCTAAATAAAGACATATCAATGTACAAAAATTATATAGGTACATATATAAAGAAAAATGAAAAAAGCTTTGTAAATATTATTTAAACTAACATTGAAAATATGAAGTGCCTAGGAAGATATCTAACATAAAAAGGGATGTGCAAAGCTCCCATGGGGAAATTATAAAAGCATTACTGTGTGACAATAAGACCTCAATAAGTGGAATAAAATGTACAATACGCGTGACTGAAAACTCAACTTTCTCTCGGTGCCTAATTTGATGAATGCAGTATCAATCAAATTTCTATCCTTTTTTTTTCTCACCTGAGGACATTTTTCTATTTTTGTTGTTGTTGTTGTTCAGATAGAATGGGAGATAGAGAGAGGAAGAGAGAGAGAGAGAGAAAGAGAGAGAGAGAGAGAGAGAGAGAGAGAGAGAGAGAGAGAGAGAAAACATCGATGTGAAAGGGACACATCAAGTGGCTGCCTCTGGCATGATCCCAGCCCTGCCCGAGGATGAATCACAACCGAGGTATGTGCCCTTGGCTGCAACCAAACCTGAGACTCATTGGTCTGTGGGCCGGTGCTCTAACCACTGAACCAAACCGGCTAGGGCAAATTTCTATCTGTTTTGATAGGAAAGGGAGAATACTTGACAAAGGAGTCTAAAAGTATATGGAAAGACAAAGGGCCAGTAGATAAGAATAACAACAGTGTACTTTGGTACAGGGAAAGACAAATAGACTAGTGGAAGCTTACTAATGAAAGTGTATTCTGTGGACCCACCCACAGCATTGATAGCATTACCTGGGAGCTTGTTAGAAATACAGACTCTCAGGCCCCAAACCTAGATCAATTGAATCAGAATCTGTTTTAACAAGATAACCCAGAAGAGTGCAGAAAAGATGGTTTTAATAAACTGTCAGGGAGGAACTGGTAACTAAACAGGAAAAAGTAATATATTGAAAGGCATTGCTTGTTTTATATCCTGCAACAGTTCCTTACTCTCTGTGATCTATTTTTCTTTAGGAACTTTTGAAAAATCAATGGAAATAAAAGGGATGTTTTGAATGTGGTTTCCTAGGAGCCTCTGTTATCCATGTGCTTGTAAGCTGTGGTTCATCTGGTTAATAAGCTTTTTTAGGTACTCTGACTTCAGCACGTCTTTATGTGTCTTAAGCATCTCTTGGGTCAAGCCTGTATGTCATAACCTGATGACAATACTGTCACTACCAATGTAGATAACTAATGTTGTGACTATGCCCCTCCACTGTAGCAATGGTAAAGTTTTTCCTAATTGTTTTATAGGTGTGTTTTCTGTATTTTTGGAAAAAACTCTGCTGAAGATCCTAAAGAAAGGGCAGCTCTTTTACTGACAAATTGGAAGGAATAACTTTTCACCTACTTAGGATCAGAAGACTAGTTCATTCTTAGCATCTTCTGAAACAAAATTAGGTAAGAAATGTTTTTCATCATTTTTCAAATAATTTGTACTCCACCTACTTCGTTTTTTTGACAGCTTCTATAATTCTATTCCTTTTGCCTCTACGAGAAAATACAGTTCACATTTCCTTTAGGAAGTTAGTGTGCCAGCCAGCTGTCAGCCTTGTGATGTACCTGATCTCCCATGTCGGGGGAAGCACAATTCAATTTTAAACTAAGTCTGTGCAACAGTGCAGCAGGGCTGCCAGCATTTCTCTTTGTGTTTTTTTCTTTGAAATTCTTCTTTCTAACCAAACAGTATGGTTTTATTTTTAAATCCTTTGTGTGAGACGAAACCATACTAAATGATTTTGCGTGTCTTTAGTTAAAAATCAACGAATTGAATGAAATAATTTGTAACTATTTCTGCAACCCTTTCTCACTTCTAGAAAATAAAGTACCACTGCTTGTTTAACTTATGACTTGTCTAAACATGTTGAAGACATTGACTATAAGGCATAACACTCAGACTTGAAAAGGGAACTGTGACAAGTTCAGTCAAAAGGGAAAAGAGGAATAATTTATAAAAGGTGCTACAGATAATGATGCCAGCCAGTTATTTTAAAATGCACCCATCTCACCTTTTAATGAATTAGATTTGTCAACAGCAAATGTTTTATGCACCATTTCTAATAAAAGTGGCATGCTAGGACTACAGAGCTTTGAGGATGGCTTCTTCAAAGCTTTATGAGTATCTTCAATTCGAAGATATTTTTTAAATAATAGATATTAAAATGTATGTTTATAATATTAAGGTTGTGACACAAATACCTAATGACAAAATTCAAGAGTTTCAAAGCAGAGGCTGACATGCCATCATTATTTCACCTAGTAACTGTTTTTTATATTAGGAGTGTTGAAGGCTGATTTGGGGATTGTGTGTCGGTTTAACTTTAAATTTTCTTGTTGTTTTGGTTGGTGTCACAACCTTAATGTCAACTTTTCAAATAGGTTTCTAGATTTCCTTTGGTTCAGGGTCATTAAAAAATGCATATGATAAATCTAAGAGGCATAAATAGGTCACACTGAAGTGGAATATATGCTTTATAAGTGGAAAAAGTTAGTTAAGGTATTTTAGTAAATTTCTATTTTTTTCAGAAATTCTATTTCGATTAATATAAACCCAAATAACAAGACATGATGTTGATATAATTCTGTTCGTACTCTATTGTTCCTGTACCACTAATACTAATCATTTGATCTTGGTGGTTATCACCTCTGTAGATATTAAGTATCACAGTTCCCACAATTGATATTTGTTTCACTAAATTACAAGTTAAATTTGGTAATTATTTCACTTAAAGAATTCTTATTCAATGTAGTTGAGTATAGGTAAAACATGCCTTAAAAAATTCCATATGTCAGTCCTTTTTGTAAAGCACTGAGTTTTAAAAATAAAATCTTGCTTTCTAAAGTAACACTTGTTACTTGTGTTAAAATTTTTTGTAGTATCACACCAGACATTAAAGGAGCAGCCAGGAGCATTCTGCGGGGAAAGAGAGAAAGAGGAGAGAGGAGGGAGAAAATAATCTGCTTACCCAAATTCTTCTTTTTTAAATTATTTTTTATTCTTATCTGTCATAATCTGCCAGAGCAGGTCTGTATTGCCTATGCTGAATCCAGTTTTAATTTAGAATAAATATATTAGACTTTACCCCACAGTTGTCTTTTTCAGCACCTGTGTTAGAGAAATAAAAGATGAAAAGAGAAGAAAATTGCTTATTAATCTTTTCCTACTGACTAATAAAGATACTGACTAACCCAAAAGACTTACATAGCACTCATTTCCTCCTTGAATGAACCACCAGATTTTATCCTTCCTAGTTTTGTATCAATAACTGGGCAAACATTAATCTTTCTTTTCCAGTGTACTTCATCTCTTATCCCCTTATTATAGCTTTATACATGTGTATATATTTTTTCTTTTTTTTTCATACAGTGTTGAACTTGAGAAATTTCTAGTAGTTTTTATTTGGGACAGTGCTGTAGAATTTTATCTTCATTTGTAGTCCCAACTTTACTTTTCCTACCTACTGGATCCTCCTATATCATATCATTATTAAATCATCACAATTCCAACAAGTATTATCCTTTCTAAGCCCCGGCCCTCAACAATAAGAGGTAATTGTATTGCATTGTGTAGTGGTTTGAAAATGTTGTCCGGCCAGTGTGGCTCAGTGGTTGAGCGTTGACCCATGCACTAAGAGGTCGCCATTTCGATTCCTGGTCAGGACACATGCCCAGGTTGTGGGCCCGATCTCCAGTGAGGGACATGCAGGAGGCAGCCAGTCTATATTCTCTCTCATTGATGTTTCTATCTCTCTCTCCCTCTCCTTTCTTTTCTGTCTAAAATCAGTAAAGAAAAAAAATTTTTTTTTAATTATAGGCCAAGCCAGGTCTTGCAAATTCATTTAGAGCAGTTTCCGATTTATGTATTTAATAAAGCTGGGTAGTGAGTCTAACTTATGTATTTAGTGTCCTTTTGTGAACAGTGATGTGACTGCCTGGCAAACTGATGAAATTTTATTTAGTGTTTCTGCTACATCAGTCAATTCTATAAATGGCTTTCTAATGGGATACAATCTATGCTTTTAATAGCTTCCTGTAATATTAAGAGATATAATATGTACTGAGTACTTTCTATATGTCGGTGATTATTCTAAGTACTATCCATAGATTATCTTATGTACTCCCCATAACAACCCTTTAATGATCTCACTGTTTTATAAATGCTGTGGAGGCACATGAAGAGAATGTTCAAAACTAGTAAATAATGGAGCTAGCATTCAGACACAAGTAGCGTGACCCCAGAGCTGACACTCTAAGCCCTCACTACTCAAAATATGATCCCCAGGCCAGCAGTATCACTATTACTTGGAAACATGTTAGAAATTTAGACTCTCAGGCCCCACCCCAGACCTACTGAAGATCTACATTTTTAACAAGATTCCTACGTTATTGGTACCTTAAAGTTTGGGAAGCACAGCTCTAAAGTGTTATGCTCTCCTGCCCTTATAAACAGAATTAAGTGTCTTTTAAAACAGATTTCTATTTTCTGTATAATGTGTTACTGAAATTTCATCTTTATACTATTTTGAGTATTCCTACAATAAATAAAGTACCTTATAATGAGATATAATAACTAAATGTGAGCAGGGATCTAAAGCAGACCCAAGTTACCTTGAAATCAAATGTATATAGAGCAGAAAATAAAATCCCAGATTATAAACAGCAAGTCTTTCTACAGTGGCAACTGACTACCTCAACATCTGAAACTCTCTTAAAATCACAGTGAAGCACAGGGCCTTGAGTATGGACTTGGATGACAGGCTGCCTGGATTTGAATCTCGGTTCCTACTTCTAGCTGTGGGACCCCAGGAAAGTTACACCACTCCCTGTACCTCAGCTTCATCATTGGGGAAATGAGGTCTAAAGTGGTACTTACTTCACAGGATTGTTGTGAAGATAAATGAATTAAAGGATAAATGAGGGGACAGTCAGGATGGCAGCATAAGTAAACGCAATATCGCTTCCTCCCACAACCACATCAAAATTACAACAAAACTACAACACAACTATTGTTCAGAACCTCCTGAAATCGAGCTGAGTGGAAGTCCTACAACTACAAAATTAAAGCAGCCACCACACAGAGACTGGTAGGAGGGGCAGAGGCACAGACTGGCTGGTCCCACACCCTCGTGTGGTGGACAAAAATCAGGAGAGACCTCGGCTGGGAAGGTCCTCCCTGAGGACTGAGGGGTCCCCGTCCCACACCAGGTGCCCAGCTCAGGGTCCCAGGGCCAGGTAAGAGAAGTCCCCATCACTTCTGGCTGTAAAACCAGCGGGAACCGAGGCAGAGGGAGGCTGCGGCTACGGAAGCCCCAGCAGTTCCTGTTAAAGGGTCTATGCACAGACTTACTCAGACCTGCTCCCTTTGAGCTCCGAGGGGTGGCAGCTTGAGGGGCACCAGAGAACAGGGAAGAACTGAGCTCTTTGGCCTTTGGACGAGAGCAGCTTTCTCCTGGACAACATGCTGGTGGAGGCCTTTGTTCCTTTGGTGATCCCTTCCCCCACAGGGCAGGCAGACAGCCTCCATACCTGGGACTCTAGCAACCTGGCTCACTCTGTTTGCTCCACCCTGGTGATACTTGAGGCCCCACCCCACCTAACTTTCGGGCCCACCCAATCTGTTTCCAAAGGCTTTACCATAGGATTGGCCCGTCTTTGATCCTGCTTCAGAGTTTCCTAAAATCTCTCAAGCAGCATCTGGTCTCAGCAAGCCCCATACCTCTTGTTGAGTGGCCACAGGCCTGGCTCTCGAAGCAGCCAGCCTTGGTTCACAGCTTGGCTTTTAATGGAGATCTCTAAGCCCAGCACAAGAAGCAGCCATCTGCAGTTCACTTTGTAGCTTATACTGGGTGGTCCTGGATAGAATATAGGCAGTAGCTGACTTTGCCCCAGAGCCAGCACACCTGGTGGACAGCTTTAGACCACATCAAAACATCACCACCCAACCACCTCCACAAGTGACACACTCAGTGAGTGGGTTCAGTGGGTACCAGAGCCCTGCTGAAGTAAGTCTAACTCTTTGTGGTGGGCCCCTACACAGCTGATCCTCCAAAATAGTCAGAGGCCAGCGGCTAGTGGGCACAGCCAGTCCTTGCAGCTGATCAGCCTGAGTAAATCCCTCCCATTGATGTGCCAACAGCAATCAAGACTCAATTACAGCAGAAGGGTGTACAGTCCACACTAGGGGTGCACCTCAAGGGCCCAGCTGGGGTGATCAGGGGGACTGTGCCACTGGATCCTACAGAACACCTACAACAACAGTAGGCCACCCTACGAAGCCTAGGAGACATAGAAACTCTGCCTAATACATAGAAACAATCACAGGAAAGCAGCCAAAATGAGGAGACAGACATGTCCCAAACAAAAGAAAAGAACAAAACTCCAGAAAAGAACTAAACAAAAGG